TTCAGTCAGGTTTCAGAGTTCATCACAGCACAGAAACAGCTTTAGTGAAGGTTACAAATGATCTTCTTATGGCCTCTGACAGTGGACTCATCTCTTCTTAGTTTTGATGGTGCTGAGCCAAAGGTTGTGTTCAGGTAACCATCCTTTATTCAGTGATTGGGGGGAGCTCGTGCGGAGGGTCAGGGAGGCCACTAGGACAAATAATCCCTGATCCAGGCACACAGATAGGGAGAGGGATAAACCAGTCGTAATGAGCATCTCAACCCGTACTCCAGGAATGATGGTACTGAACACTGTCATCTGTCATCTATGAACAGCATCCTGATAGTTTTCAGGTTGTGCGAGGTGACAGGATGCTGTGGCAGTGCGGTCCTCTGGTGATCTGCGTGCCCTGCAGGCGACCTGGACGCTGATGAGTGTCAGGCCTTTATGCGCTGCAGGATATGCCTCTCAAAGCATCTCATGACTGCTGACATTAAGGCGACAGGATTGTAGTTGTTGAAACACTTTGGGGCAGATAACTTTGCCACAAGAGTGATGGTTGCTGTCTTCAGGCAACCTCATTGTGACAGTGAGGTTGAAACTCCTGGTCAGGCACAAAATGCTTTATCAAGTTCTGTATGTGGGCCAGGAGTTTTCCTGATGTTCCCAGCTTTCACCAACTATCTCACCGGGTGTTCCTGGAAGAGCAGGAGGCAGCTCAGCTGTGTCCGGGCTCTTCAGCAAGAGAAGTTTAAGCACTTTTAGTATTACTATCTACTCGGATCGGCTCGACGTGGCACAACTCACCTCGTTTTCCATTACAATTGAGTTACAGAAACAGTATGATGCAACACGAATGCCACAACAAAGGTGGACATCGAGCCGCAATATGGCTGCTGCCTGGTCTGTGACAATGGCTGTATCCCAATTCAGGGTCTGCAGCCTTAAAGGCCGCATTTTAAGGCCGATTACGTCACAGCGACGTGACGAAGGCTGTCCCAATTCGAAGGCTGCTCGAAATGCGGCCCTCAAATGCGTGAATTTTAAGGACGTGGCGGTGTAGACTTCATGGCCCAACATATCCCAGAATGCATAGCACGGCGGTGGGTGTGGATAATTTTGCCGGAAAAAAACGGCGGATGAGGGGCGGCCGAAGACTTAGTAAACTAAGTACTGAATATGATGTCACTTATTTATGTGCAAATGTTTAATAACGAAGAACATTAAAACATTCCTGTTGGCCACATGTCGGCAAAGTAATGTGACATTAGTGACGTTTGTACTAACTTGGTTTTAGGATCGTTGAGGCTGCGTACTTTAAGGCTGCAGACCCTGAATTGGGATACAGCCTCTGTGTCACCACGGCGTTGTGTTTTATAGCCACTTCCCTTATTACCGGGTTTTAAAACTGGCACTTTTGATTTTTGTGAAGGAGACGTTCTCATGACTCACCGAGTGATGCCACTAACTATCCAATCACTAGGATGAAGTCTGTCGATGTCACATTTTCAGATTCGCCTCAGATCACTTGGAACCCGGGCGGAGCAAATACGAAAAAAGTACCAGCTACTATATGCTAATGGAAAACACTGAGAACTATGGCACGCCGACCCGAGTAGGTACTAATGGAAAAGGGGCGTAATTCTTCTGCCAGCGTGGTGTCAGCGGGGTGGTGACGGGTGTGGACCCTCTGTAGTCCCTCCCACTACAGAGCATCCCTAACCCTTCCAGTTTCGTTTTGGGAGCCTCTTTTGCACCCTTGATGGCTCTCCACTGCTCTGCCCCATTTCGTCATCGGAGGTCATTCAAGGTTTTTGGTTTGTATTGACCCGAGTACTTTTGTCCACTGTTACACTGTCAGTGCAGCTCTGTCTCTGTACTCCTGAAGGTCATGATGAAAACGCTCCACCCACTGCTGTCTAAGAAATCTTACAGTCAGAAGAGAACTCCTTCAGGACAGGTTTTAATGTCTTCAATGGGAGGTTTGGGTCTTTTCCTGATACCTGCACATGTATGCTGGTATCAGAAGTATTGATAAGTGATCTGACAGTTCCAGATTAGGGAGGGGTAGCGTCCTGAAGACTTGCTTAAATACAGTGATCTCATTTATTCGTCCTTCTGGTGAAGAACTGTATGTACTGTACAAAGTTAGGGAGTACAGACTGAAGACGAGCCTTGTTGAAGTCCCCAAAAAGCTCCCTCAGGATGGGCCTGCAGCTGTTTGTGTATTATATTGTACAGCTGGAAGAGCAGCGTGTTAACATTAACATCAGGTGGTATGTTCACTGCAGTGATGATCACTGTGGGCATGAAGAAGGGTCTGCACATGTATTTCCCAGTCCAGGAAGCATGAGTGTGATCCTACTGTTTATGCACCTCTTTGTCATGATGTGGTCAGCTAGCTGAGCAGCCAAGTCCAGAAAGAGTATAGCACAGCTCCACAGTGTAGTCATGAATGTCATGGTTGCTTGCTATTAGTAGCTTCAGTCTGTCGATTCTGTGGGAGATCGACCTCGCGTTGGTAAGGAAGACGCTCAGAAGTGAAAGTGTTTCCGTAGTCGTGCTATTAGGCTTCCTCTGAGAGCAGCAAACCTTCAGGAAATGACACATTTTCAAGTGCAAACCTGGAGGAGCTGGACTACCTCTGTGGGGTCCATGTATCGCCTCGTGCTACCAGTGGTGACACTGATCCAAAACAAACGCTTGTTGCCCCTCTAAGTGTTGTTGATTTAATTAACACCAAAGAACCAAACCAAACAACGCCTCTGCTACTTAACTCACTTCATGCTATACTAAATATATTTAAAAATGTTACATTAGTTTTCTGAGCAGTGTATTTGAAGAAATATGTTTGCGTTGCAACAAATGTAACAGTCTCTGTCTTTCAGTGGTGATGGTTCTGTCGACACTATAACGTACAGAGGTTTAAACTGTGCTTCACACCTACCCAATCCACACAGGTTTGAACTGGTTTTTCAAGCAAATAATCTAAATTGAAACTGAACCAATTTGATGGACCTTAAGACCATCACAAATCCCAAAGGGACTCTTGAGATTTTTCACTGCTTCTGACAGAGGAATTCACTCAAAAACAAAGAAAATCCCACCAAAAACTGATCAGATGGATCAGACCAGACGCCTAATAAGCCAGTGACAGGAAGGAAAGAGGGCGAAAAAAGGTCGAGTTTAGCAGTTACTAAAGTTTAAGTGCGATCATTGTGGATGAAAACAAGGAGAGAGAAAAGCGGTGAGTGACAAAATGCTCAGTGCCGTCTGAGACTATGGCAGCATCAACTGGCCAAAACTTTTTAATAATAATAGTAATGTAATACACACACGTGATCTGTCTCTTAGTGATTACATCTGAACAAAAATGCACAAAGACATTATCCACAGTGAACAGTTAGAAATGAAGGCTTCAGTCTGACTCCTCACCCTGTTTATCATCTGTTCTGAGGTCGTCACTCAGCTTTAACCTCACTCTGGGTTCTTTGCTAGCTTATCGTTAGCTTGCTGTCTGTGCAGGTGCTAGCAAAGAGCTAAAGTTCTGTTAGCAGTATGATGCAGATGTTTCTGTCCTGGGTGCAGTCTGCAAATTACCGCTGCACTCTCGTCCTGTTGTACAATAAAAATAAAAGTATTGTCCATGTGTGCCACCGTTTTCCTCCGAAGCTACACAAACTCTGCTCATTGCAGCACAAATGTGAAAGCAGCAGACTAACAATTCAATTCAAAAGAGTGTCATGATTAAAGTCACCTTATAAACACGAAACAAGGTCTGTATGCAGTGAACAATACAAACACGGGTCACTGTGACCCGCTGATCTGGATTCATTTGTAACGTTGTCATTTAACCCACATGTTTAGTAATGGGTAATAGATTACAGAAAGTAATCTTTGAGGTATTTTAGAAATGGGCTCGTCACATAGTTTGTCCAGCAGAGTGTGCCCTACTCCACTGTTTAAACTTTAAGCACTGACTGAACATTTAACTGTGATTTACAGTGTGCGCACAAGTATTCACAGAGCTTCACTCGTTCCAAGATGGACTGAATTCATTAATACCAATAATGAATAAGTGAAAAGGTTTGATTTTCTGAAACTTTAAACCCAAATCCTGTTCCTGTCAGAATATTTGTTTCCTGGTTGTGAACATGATTCTTACAAGTCTTTGAAATCAAAGGACAATAAATGACGATTCAAACAGACACACATCAAAACCTTCTTTCATTTTAACAGAAAGTCCTTTCATTACTCTAAAAAGCCTACAGGGTTACATTAAAGCCCAACCCTAATCGTGCCATGGGTCCAAGCTCAGAGGATTAAAAACATTATAAAGTACTTTCTCTGCATCTCTGGACAGACAAAATCAGAAAATAGTCTTAAACAGGTACTGAAAACCACAAAACAGTGATGATGATGATGTCCCTGAATAGTTACATATGCCTTCTTTAGTTTGTGGAGGAACAAGTTGTCAAAATGCTGGCGTTTGAATATTGTTACTGTTTCACAAACAGGAGAAAGAAGTGTGATGAGAACAGCGGGCAGTCTGGTTCACCTTCAGCTCATCACCAACAACAACAACAACAACATTTCAAACATCCCAATTCTAAAGAAACAAAGTGGTTCTCTACCTTTGACTTCAGGTCCCAGTATTCGTCTGTGCCATTTTCCACGTGTCTGAAAGCTGTGAGATAGTCGTAGCTGATGACTGCTGTCTGCAGACGAACAAACAAATGACATGAAGATATTTTCATGTGCTAACCCTAGCTTGTACTTGTGGTAGGAGGAGAATGCTGTGAATAACTGAAGGGGAATCAGAACATTCTTGCTTCTGTATATATGATTTTACATAGTTTAACAGTTTAACATCCAAAAACTAAATAAGACATGTTCACATCTTAAGACAATAGTCAGTATAAACATGTATTTTCCTGGCTTCATTCTATTCGATTTTTTTGTGGTAGAACTTTTATGTGTTAAACAGTCAATAAAATCAAGTGGACACCTTTGATGAAGCTCCTGATGATCTAGCCTCTTACTTCTTGTTTTTTTATTTGCTCTTTAGTTTTGTGTGAGTCTGCACGCTCCATCTGCCTGTCACTCTGCTGCTAGAACACCTGAATTTCCCCAATGAGGAACAATAAAGGATAGACGACACCTGATCCTAGCAGGGCTGGGGGAACTCCAGGCCCGGTGTCCTGCAGGTTTTACAACAGAATAATCCTTTAATTGTCCCACAAGGGGAAATTTGGGTGTAACAGCAGCAAGAAAGACACGTATACAAACAAACAGTACACAAGACACAGAACAGAAACATACACAATTTTTACATATTTTAGACGTGTCCTTGAGCCAACACAGCTGATTTAAATGGCTAAATGACCTCAACATGTCTTGAAGTTCTCCAGAGGCCTGGTGATGACATAATCATTTGATTCAGGTTGACCCAGGGTGAGATCTAAAACCTGTAGGACCGGCCCTTGAGGCCTGGAGTTCCCCAGCCCTGCTATAGAGGTTACACAGGTAGTCCAGCTGCTCAAGGACAGCACATTAAACCATTGCCATTTATTGTATCTCCCAAAAGTGTCTCAAGACCATTATGAGATTCCAGCAGACAGACAGCGAGTTGTGTGAAGAGGAACAGGATGAGCATCGCCAGAGCCGTTACAAATTTACCTCCAGTTTCTGACCAAACAAACAGAAAGGGCCCAAATTCCTCTAGTGGG